GAACATTGCTGCTATTCATCCCAACTCCTGACGTCCCTGCGGCGCTCGGGACGAAGAATGGGGAGCGTCCGTCCCGTCCCATTCATCCGTCACCTCAATAGCTGGGAGCACTGGCCCCGGGGTCTCTGCTGGCCCCCACGCACAAAGCAGCCTGGCCATGGCCTTACAACAATATTAAAAAAGCGGTAAGTCTCCCTGCCATGAGTTGCCAGAACAGGTAACAGGCACAAAAAGTGCAAACTTTCAGAAAAAGATGAACAGGAAACAAGACAGCTGTGACTGTTTGAGGGTACCGACTCCCCCCACCCCAGCGCCGAGGCAATGGGCCCAGCCCCGCTCGCCCTTCCCTGCCACGTGGTCCAACTGCGCCAGAAACCTCTGCAGAGGAAGGGGAGGCGCGAGCGGAGCTCCCTGCGCTGCCGCCACGCGCTGCAGAGCCCTGGCCGCCAACCAGGTGCATTGATTCTCTTCCTGCCCCTGGAAAAGGGTGTGGAGGAACACCCTGTTTTGTGCAGCGCGTCGTGGGCTTGGCTGGGAGCGGGAGATGATCGGCCCGGTGATGGTTTTCACGCTGCACAGCCTTGGCAGAGCCAAATCATTCCCTTTGGCCAGAGCTGTGCGCTGCCTGGCCGAGGGGAGGGTAGTCTGTTCCCCCTGCAAGCAGCCTGCTGCTGTTTGTGTGTTTTCAGGTGATTGGTCTTGGTGTTGGCTCAAGTGCAGGTCTTCATGTCGCTCCTGTTCTCTGCTTTGCTCCGGACGTGCACTGATCCCTTTGGAATCCACGCCCAGTGAGCAGCAAGGCCACAGCTGTGCTGGCAGAGGGCTGGCAGTGCCCACATTCTGCACTGTCCCCAGCTCCTTGAGCTGGGGATGCTCTAGAGGCCCCAGGGTGGCCAGGGCAGCAGGTCAGTGTGGGGATGCTGGGAGCAATGCCCTGCATGGACAGGGTTGGAGGAGTGCACACTCCCATCCCAGCCTGGGATAAATCAGCCCAGTTTGCTTTTGACACAAACCACAGGCAGAACAGGCAGCAGTGCTGGTGCAGAGCCCAATCCATTGGGATGTTGTGAGCTGGACCATGGTGTGGAAGCAGCAAACTGTTCCTTGTGTCCTGGCTCTGCTCATGACTTCTCTCCCTCTCACTTCTCATCTCCCAGGATGACATGACCGACTCTCTGCGGGATTACACCAACCTGCCCGAGGCTGCTCCTCTGCTCACCATCTTGGACATGTCAGCCCGGGCCAAGTATGTGATGGATGTGGAGGAGATCACACCCGAAATCGTGGAAGCCTTTGTCAGCGACTTTCTAGCAGACAAGCTAAAACCTGAGCCCATCTAAGGGGCCTTCTGCACCAACAGACATTATTTAAAACTAGGTCTCTCTTCCGCCGCTTGTGGATTCTCCAGCGTGTCCTCACGCCCGACCCAGTATCCAACCTTCTTGTGGTGCCTTGTTTTACGCAGTGAATCCTTCTCCTAAGCAAACTCCTTGAGATGCACTTTCAGCAGGGAGTTGTTGGCGTTTGGAGACTTCGCTTGTGCTTCATGGTGTTATATTCTCTAATAACCAGGCCAGAACTGTTACCGTATCGTTATTTTATACACGGCACTAGCTAGCAGGCAAAAATCTTTTTTGCATGGTGTTCTTCCCAACGTATGCATCAGGCAGTGGATGGGGTTCTTGGGGCTCTTTTCTTCTCCTTCTCTCTCTTCTTTCCTTTCTTACCACCCCTGCTGACTAAATGACTTCCAGGAAGCAATAAGGAAACTGTCCCCTTCGACCCTGGCTGGTCCTTCTGTCCCACACAAGTGCCCTGACGAGGCCAAGACAAAGTCTTAACTGCTGACAACCTCTGAAAGACCATGGCACAGCCAAGCTCTTCCTCCTGGGGGTGAGACCTTTCCAGGTGGGTTTCCCACCTTCCACTCCAAGCACCAACAGCCTTAGGCAGCGCTGGCTGTGCGTGTCATGGTCCACCCACCTGCCACGGGTGGATATTCCCTCCCTCCCTCCCTCTCTGAGCCAGGAGGAGCATCACCACCAGGCTGCCCTCACCTCTCGTTTCTCCCTTGTGCTCCCCTTGTCCTCCCTCACCCCTCTCTCTAATATGAATTGTCTTCTCCCCTCTATGTTAGTTGGTTGAGCTGTTTTTCGTAGGTGTGTCCCAAACTCAACGTTAATGGTGCTGTTCTTTAAAAAAATAACCAAAAAAAACCCCTTACAAACAAAAATATCCCTAACCCAAGCAGCACAGCTGAGCCCCTGAAAAGTGACATTGTAAAAACTGTACATGGTGATTGGAACTTTGTAATAAAACTGTTACAATGACCTCGTCCCCAGAGGTGCAGATTGTAGCGTCCCAGTGTTGGGAAGAGGGAGTCTGTGTGTAGGAGAGGAGTGTTGGGAAGTCTGTGTGTAGGAAGAGGAGCCCCAGCCAGACCTCAGTGCTGAGCTGGGATCGTGTCCCCACCAGGGACTCACACAGCCCCTGGCTGTGCCTGGTTTGTTGGGGCACAGGGTGGGTTGCTGCTCCACAGGTGGGAGGGAACCGTTTTGGCAGCTGGTGGGGTGTTCCCAGCCTGATGTCCCACGCCTGAATAGCACGTGTTGTGCAAGCCACTGCTTTTCCCTTTCAGTTCATTAGTCACCCATGGCAGGATTAGGGCCTCCCCTTTTATCGTGCTGCAGCTTCCCACCCTGCCAGGAGCTGGGAACAGCCGCCAGCTCAGGCTGCATAAATCCACCCTGTGTTTTGCACGTTTCAGTGGTGATGAACTGACTGGTGAGCAGTTCAAGGAGCAGCCCATCAACTCCCAGCATGGTCACGACTGCTGGATCTTGGACTCCTCACACTGCACCCAGCCCCCAGCCAGCCTGGGGTGTAGCAGGCACCGTGGAGTCCTTGTTAGAGCAGAAAGTTTAGGAAAGCACATGCAGGACCCATTCAGGTGGTAGCAGTTCTGACCCCAAAACCACTAGCAGCAGCCAGGATAGGAAGGACACGTTGTCAGCAACATCCTGGCCGGGCCAGCACAAATGCTGCTGCGACAGCTCCACCCTGACCTTGCCAGAGGGATTTGAGGTTTTCCCGGATCTGCTGGGTGAGAAGGGCCCTGCAGCAGGGAACTGGCAGAGGAGAGGCGACGGCTCCCACCCGCCAGCCTTTCCCTTCTCACTAGCATCACCGTGCGGCCGCCGCGCCCGCCGGCAGGCACAGCCTCACCCCGGCACTGCCTTGGAACACTGTTACTACAAACCAAACTGTGCTTTTATTAACTCTAAGGGAACCAAAGGGAAGAGGTGCTCCTTCAGCACTCAAACCGCAGCAGTTTAACCTGCTGCAGGGAACTTCTGCCTTTCGTCCTCCTGCTTGTGCCTCCGCAGTAGTTGTCTCTTCCCCTCGAAGAGCACGATGCCAGCAGCGATTGCAGAGTTCAGGCTCTCCACACCTGGCACCACGGGGATGACCAGTCTCTTGCCCCTCGTGCTGGCTGCGAGGTGGAGTGCGTCCAGACTCACACCATGGGTCTCCCCACCGATCACCACTGCCACTGGAGCCTGTGCCCAGTGCTCGTAGTAATACTGCGTGGCCAGCTCTGGGAGACCTGCTGCTTCCTCCTCATCCTCGGGAGCAGCCTTGGGTCTGGATTTCACAGGAGCTTCTGAGCTGCCAGGAGCAGAGCCAGCCCCACCAGCTCCTCCTGGCGCTGACGTGGTCTTGGCCCGAGTGGTTGGATCTTTGTTGTCGGCCACGCAGACCTGGATGCCATCAGGAAGGTTGCTGGGAACAGATTCCCAGTCCAGGTTGGCGATGATGGGCAGACGAAAATGAGCCCCCATTCCTGCACGGAGCACCTTTGGCTCCCATGGATCCACACAGCCTGAGAATCATAGAATCACAGAATCAACCAGGTTGGAAGAGACCTCCAAGATCATCCAGTCCAACCCTACCATGGTCACTAGACCATGGCACTAAGTGCCACATCCAGTCTCAGCTTGAAAACCTCCAGGGATGGTGAATCCACCACCTCCCTGGGCAGCTCATTCCAATGCCTGATCACTCTCTCCATAAAAAATCTCTTCCTGATAGCCAACCTAACCCTCCCCTGGCAGAGCTTGAGTCTGTGCAGAAGAAGAAGAAAGGGAGGAAAACAGCAGCAGTGAAGGAACTCCCTCAAAGATGGGATTCATCAGCCACTGCTTCCCACAGCAAATCACATCTGTCCTGGGCACTGCTTACAAACTCCTGGGACATCTTCAAGCACCTCATTCCCTGCATTACCCCCAGATTACTCAAACTAAACTTCTTGCCTCTTACCTTTGGTGATGAGCACTTTCTCACAACCTGCTCCTGCTGCAGATCTCAGAATGGTCCCCAGGTTCCCTGGATCTCGGACGTTGTCGCAGATGAGGAGCAGTGGCAAGGAGTTGGTGAGCTGAGCAGCAGGGTAAGACATCTTGGTATGGTCAGGCTTGGAGAAGATGCCTGAGGAGACAAAATGTGACATGTTTCTGACTGACCCACCACAAGGAGAGGGCTGGCTTTGAGTTGCTAGCCCAAATCTCACTGCAGATGTGCTGTAGGAAGCGTTAGGAAAAGCACTGCCCAAGAGAAGTTTGAAAGGAGTTTGTCATTTTACAAGGAAAACTATTTCCCAGCAGGGCTGTAACAAGGTTCTACAAAAAACAAGTGCCAGCACCTTCAGTGTGCTCTAGGAGCCACATTCAGTTATCACAGCAGGCCAAATAAAAGGGAATTTTCCCAGTTACACCACTATTGACACACTATTGGAATGTCTAGGGGAAGGTCATGAAGAGAAAGTCATTACCTACATCCTAAGTGTGAAATGTTTCCCTTTGAGCAGCTTTGTGACTGTTTCTGAGGCAACTTACCTAGAAGCCCCTGAGGAGTTACGAGGTCAGACCAGGTCTTAATGTCTTCAAACTTCACCTTAACCAAGCTGGCTCGTTTTATCTCTGCCTCAGGCAGCAACTTCAGGTGCTCCAAGGTGCTGAAAAACAGAGTCTGTGGCACAGCTCCTGCTTCCAGTGCATCCTTGATCAGCCTGTGACCCTCCAGTAGAACCTTCCCGTGATTATCCCGAAACTTCTTTGACTTGGCTATAGTCACCACTTTTCTGTGGAGAAGTTAATCACAGAGAATGGCTGTGATGCAGACAACACTTTCATTCTGACCTTTGCCAGCCACCCAGAGCTTCACTTGGAAGTCACAAAGATAACCACAGTGATAGCCAGAAGTAGACTGAAAACAGGAATTGAACAGTTAAAGCTGAAAGTATAAAGAATAGTTGTACTAATAGTACTATTTTAGCGTAGTTAGCAAAATAGTAAGGATTGCATAGTATAGACAAGAAGCTTCACCTCTCCTAGGAGAGAAGGCTGAGAGAGTTGTGACTCTCCAGCCTGGAGAAGAGAAGGCTCTGGGGTGATCTTATATCACCTTTCAGTATTTACAGGGGCTCCAAGAGAGTGAGAGAAGGACTTTGGACAAGGGCCTGGAGTGACAGGACCAGGGGGAATACCTTCACACTGCTAGAGGACAGGGTTAGATGGGATACTGGGGAGAAATTCTTCCCAGTGAGTTGCCCAGAGAAGCTGTGGCTGCTCCATCCCTGGTAAGTGTTCCAGATAGTTCCGATGGGGCCTGGAGCAGCGTGGGCTGACGGATGGTCTCCCTGCCCATGGCACGGGGGACGAACAAGATTCGCTTTAAGGTCCTTCCAACCCAAACCATTCCATAATCCTACGACCCTCCTGGAGACCTCCAGCCTGGCTGTACCTGGCAGTGAGTACCAACCGAACCCCGCAAGGTCGGAATATCCCTCCCACCGCGCAGAGGTGACCCAGGGCAGTTCCACGGTTCCCCGAGCGGGACAGCCCCGCGCTCACCCCAGCCTGCGGTCCCCGGGCGCTGCCTTCTCGTACCACAGTCCGGGCGCGGCCGCGCTGC